ATATATCTCAACCCTCCCCACAAAATGAAACCGTTTCACTTCTTTGTGATCTTTCCATACAGAACTTGGATGATTATGGTTCTTCACAGCTTCCTTTTTCTACTTTTCAGCTATACTAATTCCTTTACAGTCATTGTCTTTATAACACTTGTTTTTCAATCCATTTACACAAACCTCTTTTGCCTTTAATGAACCTTGTGAGTGTTAAATTTTCCAAGCTTTTCTTCCTCAATGTTTCCAAAATTATCAGCAATTTCTTTGTAATTCCTATTCCCTTTAGAACTTCCTCATTTCTCACATGCTCTGTCCATGTCATTCTCAATATTTGTTAAGAGAAACCATATTTCAGTTGCTGCAAGTCTTTTCTTCATCTATTGTCCAACACTCATAGCTATATAAAAGATTAGTAATCCAGCATTATTTTATTCATTTCTGATGTTATTTTTCAATCCTTTCATACCCTACTTAGTTTCTACAAAGCATTTTACATTATTCCTATAATAAAAATTACAATCTCATGACTTGCAAATGAACATAGTTCACTTTTAGTCATAAACAAATTATTTTATGGATTTAAGAAAGACATATTGTGAAAAATAAAAATTATAAAGTAAATAGATTAAGTTTGGAGTTGTTTAAAAGTAATTCTGAGGACTCATGTATAAGCCTGAATTTTGAATGCTTTTTATTTTTCAAACAAGCCCCCCCCCCCCTTCATTTGACAGATTAACATAATACAACCCTCCTAAATTTCTTCTATATACCCTTGTGCCAAACTAAGCCCTAACCATAGAGCACTAGTTAGCAAGCTGGTGTCACAGACCATTACTACTGTAGGAAGTTTAATCCTCACTGGGTGTCTGCCTTGTTACAAACTGAGTATAGTAAATAATTGTTGGTAAAAATATGTTTTTCTGGAAAAAAATCTTCTGCGTAATTTTACTTTTTATTATATTTATTTCTTTAAATAAAAAATAGACTCTATGAAATTAAATTCAGTAGCAAGAATTAATTATTTACATTGTTCAGACTGTTGTTCTCATCTTTATTGCCATACTCACAACGTTTTGATCATTGTATGCTTCGGCCTTCTTCAGGTGATTGGAATTTTGAACTGAACCAGGGTAGATTGTTCTAGTTCCATGTACCATACCTCTTCCTGATGTCTCAGTTATCTCCCTTTAACTCAACTCTCCCAGTTTTTGTTCACCACTGCAATAGCCAGGTATTGAAGTCACAACTCTGGGTCGAGTCACTGAATCCAACCAATGCTTTTATCCACTGAGACATCCAGAAGAGGCATGGAATATGGAACTAGAACAATCTACCGTGGTGGATAAAATAAAGGGTCTAGTTCAAGATTCCAATCACCTGATGAAGGCCAGAGTGTACAACGGCTGAAATGTCATGGATATAGCAATAAAGATGAGGACAACAGTCCAAACAATGTAAATAATATAAATAATTACAATACCTCATCTTAGAAATAATTACAATACCTCATCTTAGAAATATAAACAGATCCTGAAGTAGGCCAGAATGTACAACGACCAAAATGTCATGAATACGGCAATAAAGATGAGGACAGCAGACAGAACAATGTAAATAATTACAATAACTCATCTCAGAAATATAGAGAGATAGTAAAAATTAAGTTTAAAATTTCCAGTAGCATTTCATGGCTTTTGTTTAGCGTTGTCCAATATTTGGTGCTATACTTTCTTTAGTATCAATAAAATGTTTATCTTAATACGTGGTAACTAATTTAGTAATATTATTCAATTTGGACAACTTGAGACTTGGAATAATAATTTGAGCAGCCATATCTAATATAGATTTTACAGGGACTAATTCATAAAATCAAATTAGACTCGGAACTTTTTGTGTTGTTAATTTAACTAAATTGTTTTTTTAGATTGAAAATGATAACTTTTTAAAAATAAGAACAAAGAAATGCATTAAAATGATTATGGAAAAGTACTTCATAAAAAATACTATAAAGAACTTAAGCCAAGTGTTGTTATGAACTTGAGTTAAGGAAGAGAAAAATAGTTGTGAATGCAAAGATTAAAGAGATTCACATTCTCTTTAGAAATTAAAATAAATGAGTTTACAATTTTTGGAATTTCAGATAAAGAATGAGTTATCTTGACATCTACTTAAATGTATATACCATCAACTATTTATAGTTTAAACTAATTCCTTTTATAACCAGTCTTTTATTATTTTAAAAAGCAATTATAATCACATTTTCCCCATTTTCAGCTATTTCTTTTATATGTGCCTTGCAAAAACCAATCAGTACAGAAGATTGAACTTTTTTCATTGGACAATAAACAACCAATTACTGGTGCTTTGAAAAGAAGGAAAATATAGATCAATCAAATTTTGTGTATGTCGAAAAGTTTTCACCAGGTTTTCTATTTGACAATCCAACTTTGTTGTAACCATTTCATTAATAAAAATTCTATTTTGGCAAGTTGGCTTTGTTAATTTTTATTATTTTGATGAGTTTAAATATACCATTAATAATGATGGCGATATTTGTAATTTAGCAATTGTGTTGTATTTAAAAAATATCAAAAACTTTGTGTTGCTCTGTGTTTTCTTGTTTTTTTTTTTAAGCATTTCACCCCAAGCAAGGTGGGAAGCCACTAGCATGCAAGGGGTTACAGAGTTGGAGCGAAAGCAAAGAGGAGTAATAGAAGAAAGGATGAAGAGAAGGATAGGGAATAGATCAAGGCATCTGGAGACGTCGATTGACATTACATTTGAATAGTCGGAGATTATAGCTATCAGGGAAACAGGAAAATGAGAGGGACTTCCACAGGCGACAAGTGCGAGACACAAAGTTATTGGAGTAGAAGAGACGGCTACATTTAACACTTTTGACAGTGAAAGGGTGAGAGTGAGATGCCAGCCTAGTTGAACACTTAAATTCATGAAGTCTGGGAACCAGCAAAAGCAGCTCATTGGAGCAGTTACCGTGAAAGTATTTGTAAAAAAGATAGAGGGAGGTGACGACATGTCTGTGAGAGAGCAACTGCAGACAAGATGCCAGATCAGGGCCAATTACATTGCATATCTGACTCTGGATTTCATCAAGGACCTTGCGACAAACAGAAGGGGCTCCAGACAATATATGGCAGCAATACTCCATGCAAAAAAATTTCCTGGCGCGGCACAGGGAGCCAACTTTCCTTGCAGTGGATGAAGCTATTGACTCAATGTATTTGTTTCATCTCAGCTCAACAGTCAATGTGAGACTGAGCAGTTGCAAAGAGGTGCTGTTGTGGAGTTGAGCGTCAGACATTCTAAGGGGGGCAAAGATGGTTCTCTGTGGTGAGTAATAGAGAGCAGTTTTGCTTTCAATACTTTCTGAATATTAAATGAATCAAATAGCATTCTCTTCACTATTGAACAATTATGGAGTTTTATTTATCAAGTTTAATATAAAGTTCTATTTTCATGTAGCCAGATGAATGCACTACATCACCAGAAGAGTCCACTATATACAGAGTGAATTGCCCATCTCTATATATTGGACTATTCTGGTGAAGTAAAAAAGTGCAAAATATTATTTATCATTTTCTTTTAAATAAAATTCAACATTTTTTTTTCAGCAATGCAAGAAATACTCATTAAATAACCCTATATAGCAAAATGTAGGTATGTCACTATAGGGTAAGAATTAGTGAGCTATTCCTGTAGATCATTATTACTGTAGTGAGTTCAATTCTTGTGGGAAATGTCAGGTTACCTCCTCCTAATTTTTGTAACTGCTCCTTGGGGATGCTTTCCGGTATTATAAACACTCTGCAATAATTATTTGCCGCCTCTTGTTACTTTTCTGTTTGTAGAACATGTAAATCTCTCGCGGAAGATCAAGTTTTCCCTTTTTTGGGAAATGCATGAACAATACATATACACACACGTACATACACACATTCACTCACTTCACATACTTTGGAGCAAAAAGTTTCCACATTCATTTGTTACACACACATTATTGCCTTTGTCACTTGTAAACCTTTCGTTGTTAATACATTATCATTTCTTTGTACATATACACATCAGTTGTTGTTTCTTTACATTATTTTTGGTGGACTTGTACACAGTCTGCCATGTTTGTTGTGGACATTTCAGGAGACACACGTTTATTTTACAATGCATATATCGGCCTGCAACTTTGCACTATACTAACCTAACCTTAATAACTGTTTCCTGTCCTGGTTTCAAACAAAACAGTTAAAGGTGCCAAAAATAAAACAATATAATTTTTGCATGAAAACTTTAGTGAAGTTAAGTATAAATTTGTAATGTCATATATAATGAAAAGGGAATGTGATACTTAGTGTTAAAGGTTAAATAAAAGATTTGTACTAACTGGCATCATCCAAACATTAATGTCAAAATCAAATGGTAGTTATTGCAGTCATTTGCTTTTAGCATGGTCTTCATATTTTTTTTAATCATTTCACCCAAAGCAAGGCAATAAAGCCACTAAGACACAAGGTGTTACTGAATGAAAGCATATGAGAAAAAGAAAAGCTTATTAAGGAGAGAATAATAAAGGAACAGGAATTAAGACAGAAGATAATTGACATTGCATTTAAATTTTTGGAGATCAAAGTTGATTGGAAAGCAAGAAGCCAGAAGAGAAGCCCACAAGCGATAGAAGAAACTGTTAGCATAGAACTTATGGTTTCATCTAGACATTTCAAATGTAAAATGATGAGATCTAGCTGCCAATCTAGCACTGCACTTAAATTTGTAAAGTCTAGGTAACAAAAAGGAAAGCTCATCAGAACAATTACCATGAAAGCATTTATAGTAAAGATAGAGGGAAGCTACATTATGGTGGGAATGTGACTGAAGCCAAGATGTTAGGTCAGGACCAATAGCATTGCAGATTCTTCCTGGTATTTTATCAAGAATCTCTACATACATAGAAGCACCAGACCAGATGTAACAGTAATATTCAATGCATGGAGGCTTACAGCCATATTCCATTGAATCACTGGGTCCCATACAATCACCAAAGTTAAGCAATGTCAAGCCTGGTCAGCACCTAGATGGGTGATCACTCAGAAATATCAGGTGCTGTAAGCTTGGATGTGCAGGAGGTGTAATAGATAATGGCTAAGAATTGCTAATTGGAGAGCCAAATTCCAGTTGTGTTCACTTACACTCAAATACCCTTGGGAAAAAAATGAATCCACCTGTTCTCCCCCAGCTATATAATTAGTAAAACTTGTATGACTAAATCATCACTATCTTAAAAAATATTCTTACAATCTAAGAATATTTTCTGGTTTTAAATAACCTGCAAATGTTTGATAAGATGTAAAAATGAATGAATCAATCAATGCAGGTGAGAAAGATTGTCTAACACAACACAGTGAACCAACTATCCTAATATATTTATTTACTAAGCTTATCTTATTATTTGTACCAGCTTGCTCATCTTTGTTGCTATACTAACAACGTTTCGGCTGTTGTACTCTTTGACATTTTCCAGATGTCAGACTCGGAGATTGAATTCACAACTGCTAGGAAACCAGAAGTTTTAACTAATACTTTAATCCACAAGGCTATGGGTCTTTTAAGAGTGCTAAAACGTCACATACTCTGGTTCAGTGGAAGAAACAGACAAGTGAAACGAAGGTCAATAAAACTGGTGAGGATTAACTGATACAAAATATCCCTTAAACATAGAAATTGGAATACAAATGATTTAGCCTCATGGATTGAATTTGTCACCTTGCAGGTGACAAATTGTTTTTCACCTAATAACTCCTTTCTCAAAGATGAGACCTCACAAATCTCTTGCGTCACTAATCTATTGCTATTTTCATGGAAAATGTTCAGATAGTTCAACCAGTCCTGACCTTCACAGCTGGGACCTGCCATGTCATGCACATTGTAGTGAACCACACTCATACGTTTTGTATTCCCCTGGTGAGATGTAAGTTCCATTCAAGTTACTTCTTCTGCTACCTTGTGGAACAGACTCCCAAGAGGATGCTTCCTTGATCACTACAGTCTTAACCGGTTCAAGTCTAGGGTTAACTGTTATCTTCCACGCACATCCACATAAGGCGTGACTCTTAGTCTGTAACCCTGTATATCAAGTGGGTCTTGTACAGAGTGAACATCATTGTAAAATAAAAAAAAAAAAAGTGTTATGACAAACACCTGAAGTAGGCCACAGGATATGACCAAAAATGTTGTGATCATAAAAACCAAGATGACCAAGCTAGTGTGAATAAAGCTTATAATAAAATGATAATTCCTCATCTAAAAAATTGACATGGACTTATCTTAGTCAAGACACAAGACTAAAGAGAAAAAAGTGAACAAGTAGATTGTTCTGACAATCCCAGTTTATAGTGACACCTTTTGATTTTTAGCCTCTTTAAGGTTCCATCTTTCAAAATTCCCTCACCTTGAGCAAGGTCTGATGCAATGGAGTGTTTGTAAATAACCTGTTTTTGGTAAATATATCTGTTATTTTCATTTTTGTGTAATTTAGATGACAATTTATTTTATCCATCACACCCTGTATGTGTGTGTATATATATATATATATATATATATATATATATATATATAGGAAGAGAGAGTTTAAATGTCTACATATGCTCCTTATTTGACAAAAATATATTTTTATTTAGTTTACTCATTGGATAACAATAAAGTCTTGGGAAAATCACAAAATGTTTGGTTGCTCCTGTTACCTTTGTCAGGGCTTGATACTGAATTTTAGTTTACTCTTTACATTGGAAACAAACTGGGATATGTTATTAATGCAAATTGTTACATTAAAAAATAAAATATGAAAATAAGGAAAAAACAATTAAAAAAAAAATAACTGAAATGGTAAATAATTAAAAGAGAAAGCACAAACAAATAGAGGAAAAAAAAAACAAAGATCTACTTGGTTTGGGTCAGGTTAAGTATCACAAATTAAGCACAAACAGCAGACAGTGTAAAAATAGCAAGTCTTTGACCCTCAGATGTTGAAAGCAGCAAGAGAAGCCATTATTATTAATAATAACGTTATTAGTAAACAAAATGATTGATGTAACTCTAGTATTTTTCTATTTAGAGAAGAGCGTGATTTAAGAAAAAATAAGTATTTAAAAGTGAGTGTTTAACAATGTTCAATGTTGTCGAAGATTTTCCTTTTCTTAAATAGCGCTCTTCTCTAAATGTTGTAATATTATTATTATTATGACAACTACAATATCATCAGGACTCCAGACTAACTTTCGCCACCATCATGAAAAAATAACTTCCATCAACCTTAAATTTTTAATTGTTCTGAAATCAAAATTCAATTTTTTTTACCAAAATTTTTGTTAGTACCATAATAAATAGTCCTTTAAAATATTTAGAAAATAAATATTTATTTTGACATTCAATCTTTTAATTGCTCATTTGTGTTTATTGCAAGTATGGGTTGCAACAAAAATTAAAAAACCTAAAATATTCAAATTTTAAAAATGAATGAAATCCAATTTTTATAAAAATCACTTTATATTTTTATTTAATCAATTCAGTTAAATCTTTTACATGGAAATGTTTATTAAATAATTTCCATGTTTAGACAGAGTAACTTTTATGATTCCTTAATTGTGTTCTATACATTTATATTAACACATTCAAACTATTCATAATCAGTCTTTAAACTCTATCAAAAAAAATTCCATTTCAATTACCTGCCTCACATTATGATTAAATTCTAAAAATTCTCCCTTGTATTTTCAATTTAGTTTATTATAAGCAGAAAACAAACATTGTTCATCCAAATTTTTTAACCAAAAATTCTCATTTCTCTTTGATATATTGAGAGCATTAGCATGATAGCCTCCAATTTGATACAATGACTAAGATAGCAAGCTTTTTGAATGGATACAAAAGAGAGAACTTCACACTGTGTGTGAACTTCACTAAGGTAATCATACCAAGTTCACCATCAATACTTATGACCTGTGATGATTACAAGCAATGAAGGGGGCCCAGGTCATGCTGTCCAATCTCTTCCTGATAAATATCAAGAGTCCAAGGGGCTGGAGATACTTGTCAATCCTTGAATCAAGGACCAGTATACATGTTCCAGCAGGAAATTTTCAGGCCTCTAAACATCATGAGTGGGAACTCATGATGTTTAGAGGCCTGAAAATTTTCATGATCATGTCAACCCCAACATGTGGCCACTTTGCTGTCTAGATTGGAATTTCTTAGATTACTAAATCTGGGACAGTGTTAAAAGGGACATTCAAACAGTGCACAATCTGGGCATACACTTGATCCTGAGGCCATCCTCAAAGCTGAAGCTGGTTATATTGAATGAACTCTTTTCTGTTTTACTAAGCTGAACATATGTAGAAATATTTTTGAAAATACACTTTGTACATTGTAATTTATTCTCAATTACCTAGCACCCTGTAGATACATTTTCAAAAACTATGACTAGAAAAACAAATATGATAGTTAAAAATACAGTATATGCTTGCGTATAAGCTGACCATGTATAGTGCAACATCTGAATTTTTTGCATGAATTTTAACCTTTCTAGAAAAAGATTTACCTGTGTATAGTGCAACCAGTCACCAAAAATGCATGATTTTTAACCTCTTCGAAAAAAAAATTTATAATTACCTGCCCATTGTGGGACACTATCTTTTTGCATAAAACTCATAATATAGGTATCTCCAAAAATTCATATACCTAAGGCTTCAATTGAAAAGCTAAAGGATTAAATTTTCTAATTCTAGAAAAACAAAACAAAAAAAACTGAAGCATTTCAAATAGAAATTTGAATGATTTTTTGTTGATTCTTCTGAAAAACTAACCGAAACAGGCATTTGTAACTTTTTTTTTTTTTTTTGAGAAATGTAAACAAAACTTATTTTTTTAGTTTTGAAAATCCTGCTAAAATAAAATATACATTTTTGAAATGTTACTTTCATAAATTAGCAAATTTAAAGGTAAATTAATCTGTTTTGAAACAAATATCACCTACTTATAGCATAAAATTTTCTAGACAAACATTTCTTGACTTCAGGGTCTTGTTATTTTCATGTCTCCAATGATAATTTAATGGCTGAATGTGTTGAAAGGTTTAGTATGGCGTACCAGAATTGACATAATTTTACAAATTCTAAGAAGAACGTTTTTTATTTTTTTTTTGTTTCTTATAATAATTTAAAATACTAATAATTAATAAAATTATTTATCAAGATTACTTTAAGTGATTACATTTTTAATTTAATAACTGAGATAATTAATAAAATTATTATTATATTAATAATTATCTGTTATTGTATAAACTGATAAATGAGATTTTTATTATCTCAATTTAATTTTTAATTTAATAACTGAGAGTAAATTTAAATAATTTAATAACTATCGCATTCTCAATTATTAAATTGATAACTAATATAATAAATTTTAATTATATTATCTCAGTTATTAAATTAAAAATTAAATTATTAACTCACTCTGTTATCAAAATTTTAACTGAGATAATATATTCATTATTAATTGCTATACTTTGACGGTTATGAATTGTTAAAGTTATTTTATTTAACTTGCAAAAAAAGAAAAACTTAAACTAAAAACAAATTATTTTTCTTTAAGTAGAAAAAAAAAACAAAACTCATAAAACAAATTATGCATGACACATTATGAAAAGTTTACACAGTAAGATGAATACATAGCAAAATTAAAAATATTTAGTGAAATAGGAAAACAAACTTTAGAAATCCTCTCTTCAAGATTTAGAAAGAAGCCTATTGAAAGTGTGACCGATGAAACACCGAAGTGAAATGAAAGTATTGCCCATAGCCGAAAATCTTCAAGTCAAAGAATTTTCTCTGAGAACAAGCCTTGAAACACTACCTTTTAACCATAATATCATTTATGATACAGCATACTAAAAAAAAAATCTTTAATTATGGTAAAAAATTTTGGGAGTATGAATTGTATTAAGATTTTAATTTTCTCTTACTAAATATAGTCCCACCCAATTAATAACCTACCTCATACTATGAAAGAATTTTAAAACATTTTTTAAACTTAAAGTGAAAACAATTCTTGAAAAAATTAATTATTCATTGAAAAAAATTTTTTTCTTCAGACAATAATGTCCTTAATGTATATTATTTATAAAAGCCTATCTAATTAGATAGTTAGATCGTTTTATTGCAGTTTTTATGTTACAATCTGGAGCAGATTTTTAAAAAGTTGGGAGAAGTTATGAAAAATATTGATGATTTACTTTCTCCCAGGAGTTCTCTTATATGAAATATAAAATAATTTTCATACTCTTTGAAATTCTAGAAAATTTCATGAAATCAAGCTATATTAACAGTTGTAAAAAAAATAAAAAAAAATAAAATAAAGATTTCCTAAAAATAAAAATTTCAAAAGTAAATTCATTTGTTTTTTAAAGTCCTGAAAGTTTCATTAAAATCAATTATTTGATTTTTGCAAGAATTTACAAATTAGTGTTTTACACTGGAAACAGCTACACTAAAAATGTCCATTACCACAAGTCTTACAAAGTTGAAAAAAAAAAAAAAAAGATTTTTGAGCAAAATTTAGAACGTGTTAGAAAGGAGGAAAAATTTTTTTTTAAATAATCAAAAAAATACTTTGTTCTTTCCTCTTAATAATAAACATTTTGAGGTTAAACTTTGTTTTAAGTTTGGGGCCGTTTATCATCATGCTATACTGTTTTTTTTAAGCAAATTTTTAGACTAGTTACCTATTCATAGTATACTCAAGTAAGTATGTACAATATCTATTAGAGAGGGAGAGAGAAAGAAAATATTGCAGGATAGGGAGACACTAAAGACATGGAGGGTGAAAAATTCTTAGGGGTTTGTTAAAGAAACAATCTAACAAATCCAGTGTTTTTAAATCTTTTTACTATTCAGTCTTTAGACTAAACTTCCAAGACTCTCATGCAGTCACAGTTATCAGCAGGTGATCACATAAAAAAAAAAAAATTGATATATTGTTTCAATCACAGGTGAGCTTCATTTACAATAGTATTGAACTTTTAATCAATATGGCAGATCAAAAGATATACAAGTCACGAATATTAATTTAATGTTGATAAAAATTTTAGTTCTCAAATGTCAGAAGCTAATAGGATTAAATTTCTTAAAAATAAATCAATCCTGTGAATAAAATTCTTCAGATCTTAGCATTAATATCATTGAAGCATTGATGATAAAAAAGGCATTTAAATAAAAAAATTCCAAACACATAACAGCATATTATCATTTCTAGTTATTTTATGTAGAGTCAAACTAATAAAAAGGCAATTGCTAAAACAAGATGAGTTTATGTCTTACTCTTGACAAACAAGACTAAGCTTTTATGTAGCTTTTTTCATTTCAAATGCAAATTAACAACAAAACTAAGATTTTTACCTGAAAACATTTTTCAAAGAACAATTACAATTTTTAGCCTAATTCAAGCTTAAACAAATAAGAAAATTTACTGAATATTGACTGAAATTAAATAAGAAATGATTATTGCAAAAGTTGTCTTCTCCATTAACACCCCCAATCTCTTGGAGACATTTTTTATTGTCATTTGAAGAATTTATTTTTAGGTCAATGACATTTTCAGAAGAAACATGTTTCTTAGATATATATGTTTATTGTTAGAAAACTTTATATACCAACATCGTCATTTTTTATAGAGTGTATTATTACAAATTTCAAAGATTTATCACATCTGTTAGGGTTTGTTAAAGAAACAATCTGACATATGGAACCAAATATCAAAGAGAATAATTAAATTATCTGTAGTGTAATTCTTAATTTGATGGGGGGGTGCAAATTCGTTTTAGAAACTGAACCTTCATTTATAAATTTTATGGCCAAATTATCTTCAAGGTGCGATCAATAGAAAATTAAAAACAAAAAACAGTGAAATTTCACTAGACGTCAGGTTATCAAAATAATAATGCCATGTTGGTCTCTCTAGTAACTTTAGTTAAATTTTTACAATGTTATTAACTTTATTAATTTCAAATTAACATACTTCTAACAAGCTTAATTTCCTAAGAAAGTTGTGAATAAAGATGTGACCAGATTTTAAACTTAAAGCAATATTCTAATCAAATGAAATCATCAGAAAGCAGCATCTAAGAATAAGATGGGGATTTGTTTTTTTTTTTCCCTTTCAAAAAAGGCACATCAAGATTTTTGAAATTGTTGTTCCTTTGACCAAAACAAAAAGTTTAATTCTTGAGAAAATCCCATATGGCGAAAGAAATAAAATCTTGAACTTTTTTTTTAGTCTATATTAGAAAAAAAAATTCTCATATTCAAAAATATATATCTTTTTTAAACTTATTTTTAGATGCTAAAGCAAGAAAAAAGTCCACTTTCCATGGTATGAAATTTATTAAAGTAAAAATCATTCTTGTAAACAGAATAATATCAATATTTTAAAAATTATATTTGTTTTGTTATTAGCTTTTTTCTTGGGGGAGAGTAAACTCCTTGTTAGCTTTTTTTTTCCTTGGCATCATTTAGCTTTTTTATTTGAGGGAGAAAAAAACTCCGTGTTAGCTTGAACTTTTTTTAAACGAAAAAAAAAAAAAAATTATTCATTTTTTTTAGCTTTTTAACAGTATTAATGTCTTGTTTTAAAGAGAGAAAAGCTTCAACAAAAATACTAAATAAAATAAAAAAATTAAAATATGTTTTAAGTGGGAAATATGGTTAAAAAAAAATATATATATTGTCCACAGTACGTTTTAAGACCGCCTTCCCAGTGTTAAAAATGCATCTTCTGAAATTAACCATAATTTTCAGATATTGTATATAAACTTTTTGCTACCCTGAAATGAAAAAGATTTAAACACTGCTTTTTCCTTAAAACGTTGAATAAGGCGTACACTTCCAATATGAGGCATAGTCGTTTTTTTGTTTTTGTTTTTCCAGGAGCATAATTTCTTATTAGGCCCTTCCGACTTTACCAAGCCTTGTATCAGTCTTGGGGTCTGCAGTGATAGCCTGTACCCCGACAATAATGCTATTGATATTTGTTTGCAATTCTCTCAATTCTTTGATATGCAAAAGTCGCAAAACCTTCGCAGCATCGTTTAAAATATAGTCACCGGCATCGAACCCCAGCACTGTCTTGTCAATTGGGATATTATCTTTCACGTTGCCCGAAAAATCATTCTTTGCAAGACCTTCTTTAGAAAATTTATCCTTCACAAGAATGCAGATAGCCTTAAGTTGTTCCAGGTGATCAGGATGAGGAGGAACTTGTAACAGCATAGCCAGAGAAGCGATGCCGGCTTTGAAATGAGGGTCGTTAAAATCGAGATTATCAAGAGGGTTCGCCGACTGACCTTTGCCGGCTGCTTTCAGCTTCTTTACAATCTCAGCACTTGCAGGTTTGTATTTTTCCTGGTTGTCACCGTATTCTAGACGAACAGCATAGCCAAGTAACCAGTCCATAACGGCAGCAGAATCCTGTACAGAATGAGGACATCCCAATTCTGATAAATATTGTTCGAAGGACTGTGGCCATGCTTCATTTTCAATATCGCGTAGAGCATCTCGATCGGATATTTTGTAGTGACGGATTTTCTGGTCCTCCAGCCAAGTGACCATTGAACGAATAGACTTTTCATCTTTAACGTTGAAGCTATCTGGGGTGTGGTATTCCAAGGCGAGAAGTTTTCGTCTAAAGGCCATGGTTCGAAATATAACTGATATTCAAGACTCGGTAACTGAAAAACGTGCCTCTCTTAATATGGCGGATTGTAGCAGTAAAACAGCAGACAATTTAGTTTCCAGCGCCCCCTACCGCCAAACAAAAGCAGCTCACTTCTACTAATCCTTGTGGGTATTAAAAACAACAAACCCAAACATTATATAGAAAAATGTGATTATAATATAATTAATCATCATATTTACATATATACATTGTAGAACTCCAAATGTTAATTGTTACAAATGTACAAATAAATTTTTAATTTATTTTGAAATAAAATTGATAAGAAAATTGGTATTGTAAAAAAAATATTTAATTCTAATTTTATATCAAACAAAATATTCTGATAATACTGTCAACAAAGTTATTTATTACCGCAAGCATTCTTTATATTTTATTTCTAATGATTTCTATAAATTTTTATTGCAATGTTTTATTTACTATAAAAAATACTTTTCTATTCAGCACATACATGATTTAAATGAAATGTAATCTAAAATACAATGCTGAATCAGGAATAATTTTGTTCTGTAGGATTTTATTCCTTATGAATAAAATATCAAATATTGTTAATGGTACAAAAAAAAAACAAGTTTTCTCCTTTAAATGATTAATTTATTAATAATAATAATTTTAAATAAAAATAATTAGTTAAGTAATTAATTAATCTAAAAACGGAAAATCTCCAAATGCTATTTTTTCTTTTTCATTGATCTGTCACAAATTAACACGGTACCTTTGAGATACAATTCTAAATACATTTATTACAAATCCAGGAAGGAAATGTTAAATAAAAAAAATTAAATATTTAAAAAAGCAAAATGAACCTGTAGTACAGAGTATGAGCTATTCTATTATATTCTGAAATTAAATTTAAATATTAGTGAAAAAAATAACAAAGAAAGTCATATTTCATGAATCATTATTTTATTTCTTTTATTGACATACATGAAAACAAATTAGTTACATTAGTTGTTGAATCCAGGTTAATAATATCACTGATTTTTCTTAATTAATCTATTTTGTTTGTCGAACTATCATTGTTGCTTTTAATAACGAAACTAAAATTATCCCCCTGCATATTATTATTTAAATTATCTCCCCCTTCAAATGCAGAGTTACTTCCCTTTACGGAAGTACTTGTTATGTTATGCCATACAGTTCCGGTAAAATGGTAGACTGGTAAACGTCACTGTGTCGACGTTAGAAAAAAACAATTAGTTGTAAATTAAATCGAAACCGAGACTTGAGGAGAGTTTGGTGAATTCGCTATGCATCCTTATAGGAAGGCGTCTCCTTCCCCATTACCTGTTTCTCCAGAACCACCACCTTTGGTTGATGGATATCGAAGGCCTCCTTCAATATCCAGTAGCCCGTCGTCAGCTCATAGCCAAGAGAATGGAACAGCCAGGCTGACAGCCGCTGCAAAACGTCAAAAATATTTCCGAAGGCTCTTCAAATTTCGTCAGATGGACTTTGAATATGCTTTCTGGCAAATGGTCTACCTGTTTATGTCGCCACAAAAGGTGTATCGTAATTTCCAGTACCGTAAACAAACTAAGGATCAGTGGGCTCGAGATGACCCCGCCTTTCTCGTGTTATTGAGTTTTTGGCTGTTAGTCTCGTCTATCGGGTTCGCGTTTGTTCTACGTCTTCACTTCGTTGGTTTCCTCAAATTCATCGTTTGGGTTATCTTCGTCGATTGCATAGGTGTCGGCATCCTTATTGCATCTCTATTATGGTTTATCACCAATCGTTACCTAATAGTTTCACCTCCAAGAGGGCAGGATGTCGAGTGGGGTTACGCCTTCGACGTCCATCTGAACGCGTTTTTCCCGTTGTTGATGATCCTACACCTCTTTCAGCTGGCCTTCCTCAATACTGTGATAAACCATGATCTGTTTGTATCAAGACTTTTTGGTAACACACTGTGGCTAATCGCCATCGGTTACTACATTTACATCACTTTCCTAGGCTACAGTGCTTTACCGTTCTTAAAAAATACACGTTCCTTGCTTTATCCGATGACAGCACTTGCCATGGTCTACATTCTGTCATTAGCATTCGGATGGAACTTCAGTAGAGGTCTCTGTTATTTTTATAAATACAGAGTTTTATGAACAATGTCATTAATAAGCCGGCAAGAAAACAATAACTGACTTTTGTTTGTTTTTCAACTAAACGAGCTGACTCCAACCTAAACTTGTGTTAAATTTTGTACACCCTGATGATACAGTCGAGTTGTTATGAGAACCCATTTTTTTTTCTCTTATATCTGATGGTAAATATTCAGTCAAACTGTAATGGATTTGAACGAATATAACCATAATTTCTTTGGGGAAATTAAGTTTTTAGGTTTGATTTCAATTTTTTTTCTTTTTTAATTTTTTTCGTTTTTTATGAAAGTAGTAGTTGGTCTTTTTCGTTTCAGACCATAACGCCCCTCTAAAAGCACGGAACATTTTTTTTTCTTTTGTCTGCAAAAAGAAATTCAATTTGATATTTCAAAAATATTTAATCCCCAACTCTCTCTAGAAATTTTAATTTTATTTCATTATTTTATTTTTATATATATTTTTTAAAGGTTTATTTTCCTGTATGTTAAAATTCCTCACGTATTTACATAAAGACAGTCAGGGTCCAGTTTAACATTAAATTGAACATGTATTGTAACGTTATAATGCCGGCCACAAAGACAGGGTCTATTTTGGTATTAAAATCGACCCCCTCCACCACTACTTTGATCGTTTCCACTTTAAAACTTTCATTTCCTTGAAAAGGAACAGATTTTTTTCCCTTATATATATATATATATATATATATATATATATATATAAATTTTATCACAATTGAAACACACACACACAAAAACAAACTACATTTTAATTGGAATAATTTAGTCTTGCCAGTTTTAAGTTTTCCAGGGCAGTAGTCATGTATGTAGTTTTGTTTGACCGCAAGAATATTTTAATTACAGGATTAAAGACCATACAATGACTTGTAATACATCTGCCACCAACGATTGTTCAAATACATGCCAACAATGTCTTATTTATTTTTTTTTTTTAATTTCTTAAAGAAAAACCTAAAGCTATTCTTTGTTGATTTTGTTTTCTTCAAGCAGATCAACAATATTTAAGTATTTGCACAATGAAATTATCTCTGGTTGGTTTGAATATGATTTTAATTATAGCCAAAAGTGTTGGTAAATAATATATTTTTTTTTTCTTTTTTCTTATTTAAATAAATTTATTGAGATAGTGCTCACTTTTTAGTTAACCTTTTAACTAATGATTTGCTTAGTCACAGTAACTCACCACTGGATATTCTCCTCACTGTTAACAAAACTTGCTTTCTCTGTTACTTCTCATATTAATCATAACAAAATGATACAGAAAACAATACTAAATAGTAATGATAAATAGCAAGTCTAAAACTGTCAAGACCAGAACAACAACTGGAGAGTTTCTACCTCTTCTTCTCTTCACTTAATAATAATTGGTAATTCTAACACCATTATACTATTTCTACTGCAGTGTAGTCTCTGCCATAACTTCTCTTCACTTAAAGGGTCATGCAATGTCATCACCATAGCAACTAATACAGTCTCCCTTAAAATAATCTTCGAAAATATAAGCAGTTATTTTTTGTTTTTGTCACCAAGGAGAAAAATAAACCAACATTCTTTTTGTATCGCCAGATTAATTTTATAATAAGCTTTTTTCAACCCTTTTAACAAAGGTTGATAGCATAGGTTACATTCTTGATTCACTATGTTCAGTGAATGTATTAGCACTGGGAATGACATTGTTAGTGCTATCTGCCTGATGAGTTTTATGTAATCAAATTGTTTCACAGGGTTGGGTGATTAGGCCTCCTGCACAGTCTCTGTACTCTAAGGAAGGGCTGGTTTTCTTTCCCTTAGACAACCATGTCTTTCCATGCTAATGGATTCTATCTCCCCAAGTGTGAGGTTTTTTTCTTCTTTTATACTGGTTGCCAACCAGTTGAAGAACCCTGATTGCTTTGCTATTTAACCCATGGATGTGGAGAGAAGAGATGGATTCCTACCTTTCCAAGTGTATTTATGCAAAAGTGAATGTAATAAACTTGACTGAATTCCAACTTGGCTCACTGATTTCTTGCTCTGAGCCATTATCCATTACACCATCCACATATCAGGGAGTGATATTGGAGTGGGAATAATTCTGTTTATACATTATCTAACTTTCTTTCTCTCTCTCTCTCATACAAAATACATATTTTTCTTTTCACCATAAGAATTCAGCTTTCACTTGTATACGTCCCATTCACTATGTGATTCTCTCTCAAAAATGTTCTGATGGATACTCATCATAAAAAAAGAGGCTATATTTACAGCTATTATTGTTCATCCTATCATTTTCTATTTGGGTGATATATTTTTTTTTTTTTTTTTTTTTTCAAGTGATTTGGTTACAGGTTTTAATCTGCTTCTTCATCCAGCTGTTTTGTAATTAAATGCATATTTTCTGGAATAAATGTTGAATAATCTGGACAAATTTATAGTTGGATGAATTATGAAAAATTGAGTGAGAAACTCAGTGTCATTAATTTAGCTTAGTAGATTCTGAAAATAGGGATCTCAAGTGAAAGATAATTGTCTTGGAATTTGACAAATTTCCAGATGTTCCAAATTTTGTTTCTAAAACATTATTACTTTATTTTTCTATATAATCTCTTATTTAAGGACCAGTACATCTCATCACAGTTATTTGTACAGACCAATGTTCTCATTTATACATTAATTTTTACTATTCATTGTAATTTTTTTAAGTTTTGACTCATAGGTACTGTCTTCTGTCTTGATTATTTTGAAATGGGTTATTCTGCATCAGTTATCATCTTAAAGCTAACTTGATTGGTTTAGATTATAATACTTTCATTTTTTGACTGATAATTATCTGAAAAAATGTACAATTTCAATCAGAAATGCCTTTTTCTTCTTTTTTTTGCAAAGTGTACTATACATTTAAAATCATTATTGATGATATCACTGTTGCTGTAAATTTTGTTACCCTAAAAATTTTGTACCTTTGAACATGCCTAACACTGACAAGGTTAAAACTAACTGCCAGAACAAACTGTTCTCATTTTTAAATCAAGAATTTGTGTATTGCTGTTAAAAATGCTCCACAACAGTTTCTTTTCTTCTTTTTTTTTTTACTGTAAAGTTTGGACAGTTTTTGTAGATGCTTTATGAAAATGTATACATTTTGTTACATTTGTATGCACATTTCATACAGTAAATGTAACCAGTATTATAAGATAGAGGTAATATTTTACAAATATCAAGTATATTCCTGATTAAAGGCAAAAAAACTTTATTATTTTTTTTATTAGAACTGATTTTGTTGAATATTAGTAAATACATGACTTGCTATTCATCTTCATTGCTGTTCAAATTTACCAAAGCTCAACTGTGACATCATTAGACTTCAAACTGATAATTATTCATTTAACCTTATTTGTAAAAAAATTAGCAATTGCTGTCAAAATGATTGGATTTCTTCAATAGAAAATGTTTTCTATGAGAAATAGTTACAAGATTAAATTTTTAGATTGTCAAAAATAATGATGTGGAGAAATTAGATTTCTTTATAATGTGTGCAAGTGTAAATTGTTACAATTTCATTTGCTTCATTTATATACTTCATTACAAAGACAATTTGAATCTTGCTTGACATTTATAAAAAAAAAAAATCAAAGTAACAAATATGTATTAATCACATTTTACAGAAGATTTTATTACAGCCATTAATAAACTGAACAGAAGGATTTAGATGAATCAAAACATTTATTTACTTTTTAAGGCCAAAAAAGTTCTCATAAAAACTGCAAAGAATAAATTACTAAATATCTTGAAAGAAATTTCTTGCTTTTAATAACGCAAAAAGGTGACAAACTTTATTAGTTGAGACAGTTATTAATTGTAGCAACTCAGTTGCTATTTTATAAATTCAACTAACTTGAAAACAAATTTTCGTCATCTGTATTGACTTAGAATTGTATATAATATGACTGATGGAAATTCAATCATTTTCAATTGATCCATAGAACTGCAAAAACGGGAATTCCTGTCATCTGGAGTTAACTGCAGATAACAGGAATTTCAGTTTTTGTAATTATAAAAATGAACAGCCAAAAACTAAAGAAAGAATATTAAAAAAAAAAATTACAATAATTTAACACTTATTTTCCATTTCAAACATTATCTCGACATGTATATCAGTATTTATGAAATCCTGTACATCTCTAACCTCTTTCCTCTCCTTTCCATCGTGGGCAATTTCTTTATCAATATGTGATTATTATTATTATTATATTTATAACTCTGGATTATATTTAACAAAGAATATTTTTTAACTTGGGATAACCTTATAAAAGAAATTGATAATTTTCTTGCAACTTATTTCTGTACATAGAAGCTTTGTAAAAAAAAAGAAAAAAAACTTACTTTTCTCTTTAATAAAACATTTTTACTATAAAGCCATTTTTATTAATCTTTAAAAATTTTGCTTTGTTTTTGATGAAATCAACTTTTGGTACAAGACCCTTTTTAATGAAGCAAAGTCTCATTCACAATAGAAATTTGGTGGGGTAGAAATTTTTTTTTAATTTGTATTTTTATATTCTTTTTTTTCTTTCTGGTAAGTATACAAATGACTAACATCATATGGTTTATATTTCCAATATTACATGAGTTCAAATGAGAATTAGGAAGATTGTGTTTTGCCAGTTTTCAAAATGGGAAAGGCCTTTGTTTTGAAAAGAAAGTGAAAGGATTTATTGATGTTCAAGCAATGACTTCCAATATGCATAAAAAATTGTCCAGACCCATTCTTATATAACAATTTA